CCCTGCCTAGACAGGGGTTTGGACTAGATGAATTTACAAGGTCCCTTCCAACTCCTGTTCTGTTCTATTCTATTCTATTCTATTCTACCCTGTCCCGCCCCACCCCACCCCATCCTCCCTGCATAGATCAGAATGGCCCCAACTCTGTTGGCCATTTGCAAAGCTTTAAAAACTTGGCTATGTAGCCAGACCTGGGGCTCAGAATGTATGAAGGGCCCTGTTGCTTGGCTTCACTATTAGCCGATTAATCATCAAGGCTGCAGTTTTACATTTATACATATTTATTTTATGGATGATTCTATTGTTTTCACGTCTTTTAAATTGTTCTAAATTTTTACATTTGCAAGCTGCCCAGAGTCACTTGATTGAATTGGGCACGCCATAGAAATTGAATCAATCAATCAACGAATGTGCACACAGTGCTCTTCACCACAGATTAGCCTGCCAAATGTTTCTTTGAATGTATTTGGTGAATCCAGCTGGTCTAATGAATGTTTATTGAGTTGTGTGTACATATTCAGAAAAATCAGCTTCAGTCTTTAGTCAGCCTTGGTAAAGCATGAGCAAGCCTCACCACACTCAATTATTTGTCTGCCTTCCAGCCTGTTGAATTATATTTATTTAAAGATATTCAAAGCTAACCAGGAGCCATTCCTCTTTTTTTTTTAATCTGTTTCCCACAGGAGTTTGACAATTATGCTGAATGGGACTTAAGAGACATAGACTTTGTAGAGGATGACTCAGACCTTTTACACGGTGAGTTTTGCTTCCAAATCCTGAACACTTCCTCTTTTCCCCACTTCGTAAGGAATAAAATGTATTGGAGTCATTTTTTTAAAAAAATTCCTAGTAACTTCATGAAAAGGTCCACATAGGCTTTTTTGGCAACAGACCAGAAGTTGCAATAGTTGCCAAGTAATTATTTCCAGGATTTTTTTCCTTTTTTTTTCCAAAAATTGACTCTTAATTACAGTGGGTTGCTCTCTGAGCTTGGTTATTTTCTTGCAGACGTTTCATTACCAAACTAGGTAACATCATCAATGCCAGTCTAATTACTGCTCTAGAGTTTCTTGGTAATATTCCACCAAATATTTACCCGGTTGAACTGTGCTTAGTTCCAGACCCACAGAGATTTGGCTGGAGTTGTCATCTGATATCCATATTGAAATCCTCAGAAACAGACATTCTTAAAATGTTTGATGGATTGATTTGATTTCTATAAACACCCATCTCAACAAGTGACTCTGGGCCACAGTAATGATTAAAAACACAAAAACTTGGTTTTCTTTCTCAGTTGTTATCTAAAAATACATATTTCACTTTAGTCACTTTTTTTTAAAATAGTAATTTTAGAACATTTTCACATATGTTTCCCACAGCATGTTAACATTCTTACACTACAGGGGATTGTTTTATTTCTCAGTATGATTTATTTATATTTCAAGGCAGGCGATCCCAAAACAGCCCATAGCATAATTACATTATGAAAGTCATCTCAAAGAGCATAAAAACCACAGTTTCTAATTTTTTTTTAAAGGCTCACAGCCTTGCAACTGTCACACAAGCAGAAGGTTGATAGAGAAAAATCTCACTGCATATAAAAAGCGAACTTTAATGTGGGACTTGGTTATAGAGAGCTAAAAGGAACAATGCCATGTCAGAAGGTCTGTGGGATTCCGCTGTTCATGAGCATATGGGGGTCACAACTGAAGGACCGTCCTTCACTGGTTGCTGCCAACCATAAGCACATATGGTATTATAGACAGTCCTCGACTTACGACCACAATTGAGCCCAAAGTTCCTGTTGCTAAGCGAAACATTTGTTAGGTGAGTTTCGTCCCCTTTTACGACATTTCCTGCCACATTTGCTAAGCCAATCACCGCGGCTGTTAAATGAGCCACACAGTTGTTAAGTGAATCCGGCTTTCCCATTGGCTTTCCCTGTCAGAAGGTCGTAAAAAGGGGAACACATGACCCCGGGTCACTGCAACCGTCATAAATATGAGTCCGTTGCCAAGCATCTGAATTTTGATCATGTGACCATGGGGATGCTGCAACGGTCGTAAGTGTGAAAATCGTAAGTCGCTTCTTTTTCGGTGCCATTGTAACTTTGAATGATCACTGAATGAACAGTTGTAAGTTGAGGACTACATGTGTTGTTATTATTACATATATTATCTATTTCACTTTCCAGCTACTCTAGCTGGCCCACAACAATTTAAAAAAAAGGAAGTTTAAACAAAGTGAAAGTAAAATAATGGAACAATAAAACAAACAAGGAACAAAGAAAATACATTGATCTGTCAGGAGACACATTATTATTGTCTGATTATGAGCATAGCTGCACTTACCGTATTTTTCGGGGTATAAGACGCACCGGAATATAAGACACACCAATAGTTTGAAGAGGCAAATTTTTAAAAAAAGTTTTTGCACTCTGCAGACCTCCCAAAAATGGGCCCGTTTTTTGTCAAAAAAAAAAGGGGCATGCATAGCCTTTAGGAGACTTGTAGAGCGCTCCTGGGGAATTGGGGGGTGGCAAAAACCAGCCTGTTTTTCACTCGTTTTTGCCCTCCCCAGCCCCCAGGAGTACTCTACAAGCCTCCTAAAGGCTATGCACGGCCATTTTTGCAAAGGGGGCAGGATTTCAGGAGGCCGAAAATGCTGTATTCAGTGTATAAGACGCACCCCCCTTTTTTGAGGGGAAAAAAGTGCATCGTATAATCTGAAAAATATGGTAGTAACAATGGAACAGACAGCATACCACAAAAATCTCACTTTAGGATTCAGAGGTTTCTTAGAATTTAAAGCATAGCAAACATAAAGCCTTTGCTATTAAGGCACTTCCATGACATTGCAGTGAGGGTCAAGCAGTCAAAAGAGATGGCTTGAGGCCAATTGGCAACCTCTCATCATTCAACATTTCATTATATGCCTTAAAGCCATAAGCACATGACATAGCAACAGAGGCAGTTTTTCACTCATTTAACCTGAGTATTACAACATGATTATTTTTACCTGTATTTTAAGTATAAAAGGTAAAGGTTCCTCTTGCACATATGTGCTAGTCGTTCCCGACTCTAGGGGGCAGTGCTCATCTCCGTTTCAAAGCCGAAGAGCCAGCGCTGTCCGAAGACAACTCTGTGGTCATGTGGCTGTATGACTAAATACCAGAGTATCACGGAACGCTGTTACCTTCCCACCAAAGGTGGCCACTGTTTTCCATTTTTTTACGTGCTTTCGAACTGCTAGGTTGGCAGAAGCTGGGACAAGTAACGGGAGCTCACTCCGTTACGTGCAGTGGTGGGTTTCAAAAATTGTTCGAACCTACTCTGTGGATGTGGCCTCCTTTCTGGGAGTGGCTTGCCGCCCATGTGACCGGATATGAAGATGCCGACGACACTTGTCAGAACCACCTTACATTACCTCACACACAGCACTGGCATGCATAAGAATANCGTATTCCATCTATTGGCCAATGTCGACTGGCTACCACCCGGAGGAGGGCCTTCTCTGTGGCTGCTCCGGCCCTCTGGAACGAACTCCCCGCGGAACTACCCTCACCTCCCTTCAGGCTTTCTGTATAGCCGTTAAAACCTGGCTGTTCCGGCAGGCCTGGGGTTGACGAGTTCCCTTCCCGCTAGAATTGTGTGACTGTTGATTGTTTTTAAATTTTTCTCTGTATTGTGTCTGTTTGTGTTACCTTGTCTGTACTACCCCCCTCCCCTGGGTTTGTTCGCCGCCCTGAGTCCCTCCGAGAATAGGGTGGCATATAAATGCAATAAACCTTTAAACCTTTTAAACCTTTAACTAGGTGCTAGCCTTTGACTTAGACCGTAAGGGAGCCTGCCCATTATGGTCATCAGTCATGACGGTCTTAAAAAGGACCACCACATCCCCGGATACATTTTTACTATGGTTTTTTTTTGCAGTCATTAAATGAATGCCATGGTCATAAAGCAAATGCCACAATCATAAAGCAAACTCATTTGTCAGCGTTCCAAGCAGAGGTGGCATTCAGCAGGTTCTGACCACTTCTGGAGAACCAGTAGCGGAAATTTTGAGTAGTTTGGAGAACCAGCAAATACCACCTCTGGCTGGCCCCGCCCCATCTATTCTCTGCCTCCTGAATCCCAGCTGATCAGGAGGAAATGGGGATTTTGCAGTAACCTTCCCCTGCCACGCCCACCAAACTATGCCCACCAAGCAATGCTACACCCACCAACCCATGCCCACAGAACTGGTAGTAAAAAAATCTTGAATCCCTTTAGTAAGCAGGCAAATTCCTCAACAATTTATTGGATACATCGTATCGGCACAACTGATGAAAGTTCCTGCAGCTTTCACCTAATTAAAAAGTAAACGTTTCCCCTTTCCCCCAAGTCACTGGTCATGCTGTCCAGTCCAGGTGCTGGCCAGTTGCTTGGTTACTTCACTCCTCCTCTGGCCAGCCACCTGTGAGAATGTCCTTGGTTCCCACAAGAAAACTTTATTGTTTCGGCGACAAAATCCCATCTAGCTATTTACCTCTGTTGTTTGGCAACCCTGAAGCCTCCGAGATGGCCTCAGCCAGGTTCATTTCAGGGTTGACACCATTGTTTCCTTTGGATCATTTTTGCTAACTAGTGGAAGCAAATGCTGGATTTTTTTGGCCAAAACATCATAAAACAGAATCAGATGACGGGGAGGCACTGCAAACGGCCATAAATGTGGACCAGTTACCAAGCAACCAAGATGCAGTCCCTGGCCACTAGAATGTCAGAACCAGTGGGATGTGTGTGTGTGTGTGTGTTGTTACTCCATCACTAAGCAGCTCGTCGTAAGTCAAGGACTACCTGTAACTCAGTGTAACATATTGAGAGAATTGCAGAAGGAAGGTTCATTAGGCTTCCTTCAGAATCACTCAGAAGCTACAGCTGGTCCAAATTCCCACTGTGCAAATAGTGATGGACAGTTTGCAGTACACCCATGTCACCTCTCTTTTAATCAGCTACGTGTGTAACCACTAGGCTCCCGAATACAACTGAAAATTCTGGTTGCTAATTTATAAATCCCTATAGCAGGGGTGTCAAACTTGATTTCATTGAGGGCCGCACCAGAGTTGTGTTTGACCTTGGGAGGTCAGTGGGCGTGGGCAGCTTGACATCACTCATGTTGGGGTCACCCGTCGGGGGCTGGGGGGTAATCCATTGTCTCCAG